GTTAAAGTCAGAGCTAAGGCACAAGTTAGCACCAAACCCCCTGTTCCCAGGTGCCCAGAGCTGGAACACCAGAGGCTCTGATTCACACCCGAAGCTCACCTTTTTTTTTTTTTTTTTTTTTTTTTTTTCACTTAGGAGCAAGTATGATCAGTAGTATAGTAGACTGATTCTATTACAAGGTGGCTATTTCCGAGGTCAGGGCAGGTACAAAAAGCTCACAGGAATGATGGTGCCAAGCCTGTGTGCAAAGGGAAGAAGCAGGTTTTCAGATGGGCACCAGAAAGCAGGGTCACCCCTGCCCTGCCAGCCAGTGCTGCCCCTCGAGCACATTCCAGTCCTGCAACCAAACAGACCTGAGCCCATCCAACAATGGTACTTCTAACGAAGCAAATCTGGGTACTTTTGCACTGTCCATCAGCCTGGCTTACATGTAGCGTTGCTTTTCTTGCACTGCCAGGTTCAGGCTGCTTGAAGAACTACGGCAGATGCAGGTTTGCCCCAGTTCCTCCTCTTCACCCCATCCTGGCTGGTATTTTCACATGGCAGCCTGCATGCCTTGCTCCTGATTTTAGTTGGAGCAAACTAGCGTGAATCTCTACGGACTGAGAATCTGGCGTTGTGCATGAAATAACACATTATAAAAAAAAAAAAAAAACCAAACCAAAACCAACTTAAGTGATGAACAGAACCAGCCTTCTCATCCTTCCTGTGCAACTCCCCTGACACCATGGAAAGACCAGCTTGTCCCCATGGCTCAGAGCTCACCCCCCAGTCGGATGGTTGGGTTTGGAAAGCCGCTGCTCACAGGGCACAGTGCGAGAGAGGACCAAGGCAAAGGGGACCGGGAGCATCGACAGACCGTCCCCATCCCTTCCCCTGAGGAGGACACTGGTGCTGCTCTGCCAGCTGGGTGGCACTGGGATGCCATTCCCGCTGAGGAAGTGCCTCTCCCTCTCCGGACAGCCAGAGGAAACCCAGCCTTTCACTCCACATAACCTATTTTAGCCAAGCGTCCAGGTTTGGGAGGACTCACATCCTATTCCAGCTCTGGCTACACGCTGCCAATTTAATTTCTGCTGCAATTATTCTCACACTCAGACACCTGATCCACTGTCAATTAGCGCTGACGGGGCTCTGCCCCACAGCCTGAAGCCCACATTTCCAGCCCTCGCGGGCCAGCAAGCTGCCAATTCTGGCAGTATGGGAATGGTCAAGAAAACAAACATCCTCTCCTTTTATTAGCACCACATGGCAGTATTTTGACTAGCGAGCTCACGCTACAAGAAGCTGAAGACAGTGGGATTTCCAGAAACTGATGGGCCAGTGCTCCCGCTCTCCCCACCTGCCAGGGAGGGACAGTGGCACCAGGCGAAGAGCCGGCGGTGACGCGAGACCAGAGATCCCAACACATCAGCAGTGATGTCACGTCTGTGTGATGGCAATCCTGATGTCACACGCTGGTGCTGCTGGCTGGAGAGCACCGAGCTGCCCCACGGCATCCCCGTGGGTCCCACCGTCACCCATGGCCAGGTCTGACAGACACAGCCCCTCGTTATTTAGGATGCTAATTTGAATATCACTGAATTTGCATCCTCCTCTATAGACCCTTGCTGTTAAGGGCAGGCTTGTACAGTGTAACCAGCTAATAACCAAAGTCTGCTTTTTTAAAAGTAATATTTCACAAAGGTGACTCACTAGCATCCTGTTCAGAGAAATTTCTGCTAATTGTGAACAAGCAGCTCTCTTCACTTCTAGCTTCTTCAGTTGTGAGGGCAATTATTCCCTGCAGTCACAGCATTAATCAAAGTTTTAATAAGGAGGATTGATTACATTCTTGGTCTCTGAGTAGGGATTTTCCACAAAACTCAACCGACAAACCACCACAGATTTAGAAAGAGAGGAGAGCTCACCAGCTGGTCTGATACCTTCCAAGTTCTCTTGCACGAAAGATAACTCCAAGCCTCACTGTCTTCAAGAGGAAGATTGCACCTGAATAACCTAAAATGTAATTATACGGTACATGCTTTTCTAGAAATCGCACAGATTTAGGCATTCTGCTCATGCTCACATGTTTCAAGGCCTTATCAAGAATTAGTGTAGACACAAGTCAAAAGAGTTTCAAGACATCTTTGCACAGTAGGATGGAAAAGTTGGTAAGAGTAAAACCTGGAATAAGGAGAGACGTGTGCTCCACATTACTGGAAAGGCCACTTGGGGTAAAACTCTCAAAACCCTTTTCAAGGACAACCCCAAACCTATTTTTGTGATTCGAGGGCAGAATTCCAACAAATTATTTTTTTTCCCCGTGTTTCAAAGCAGATCGGTTTTTATTTTTTTTCCAGATTCAAGGAAGTGCACCTAAAGGTGGAACATTTTGTGCCAAGCTATTATTTTACAATGAGTCTTTTATTTCTCACAACCTAGTGAGGGCTTTAGCTCCAGGGGCTGAACGAAGGCAGCACAGGACAGCCCTGGGGCATACAGCATCGCTGCACAGGGGACGCCAGCCACGACCGGGATCTCTGCTCCTGGGGGACAGGACGTGGCTGCAAGGGTGCTGCTGATCACCCTTAGCATGGTGCAAGACAGAGGACATCTGCAAGAACACCGGGGTTAGGACAGCTACTGGCACACGTCCCGAGCAGTCAGCGTGAGCCCCGCTCAAGACACAGGCAGTTTGGGGAGGGAGAAGAGTCGACCAGCACATCGAGCGTGCAACCAACGCAAGAGAAACATCCACCTCCTCAGAGGGACCAGAAAAACCATTAAGCAAGACAATGTGGAGATACAGTCATTGAAAAGGAGTACTTCACAGATTTAGACATTTTCAGTGTAGGTCTGGATTCAGGAAAATCCATCTCTACCCTCTCATTATATTCTATGTAACTGTCTAATTTTTAAAAGGATCCATATGTAACATATATTAATAGTCAGATTCAAATCCAATCTGCATTAAACCTCAGAAATGTTGTATCTGGCAGCAAAACTGCTGCACATTTGGTCCTTATTTAATATTATTCATAGGGTTTTGGGCACATCAAAGTCTATTAAGAAAAAATATCTGTCAAAAAAAGATTGCTGTAATTGATTAATGAAGCAAACATGGCCAGAACTCAAAGCCCAAGCACACAGATCACCCTGCTCTGTCAGTCAGGGCAGGAAAGATGAGCAGACCCACAGGTCGCTCGTGTGCGATACCGGGGCTGGTGCCGCCGTTCTGCAGCCTCTCTCCCCCCTGCCCCAGGGCAGGGATGCAAAATATTTGCAAATTCTACTGATCTGTCACAGGGCTGCAATGGCCAACAGTCACAGGTGTGACTATGTGGGGCTGTTCTTCATGGGGTTTGGAGAACCTCACCCCCTGTCCTTGTCAGTCCGCGATGTCTCTGCTGCCAGTGCCATCTCCCCGCTCCTCAAAGGGAAACGAGGACAACATCACTCCTCATAGTGGCATCCCACCCTCTTCCACCCTTGCAGGTCTTATATTCCTTCTGGACTGAGCTGAAGGAGGGCTGTGGGGGGACCTTGGGAGGGCATGTGAAGAGCCACCTCTAGGAATGAGCAGCAGAGCTAAGCCAGCAGCACCTGCACGTGAGCACTTTGCAAGCGCTGGAGAATAAGCTCTCATGGAGCAGCCCAGGACACAAACCACCTTTGTGGAGAAGGAAACCAAAAAGAAGCAATATTTAAACACTCAGCATCGGCACAAGAGTACTCCCGCACTGCTGTGGCAATCACAGGATTTTTTTTTTTTGTCTCCCTGAACTGAAGTGGTTTTGTTTTCTGAAGCTTGCAGGCAGCTCTGGTGCCTCCATCGCTGCTCTGGGACAGGTTGGCCAACCTGCAGCAGTGAGAAGGCTCAGCAGGCTTCAGTCCTGCCATGCACGACCTTGTGTGCCCTGGGAAAGATTGCAGCATGTCCATCAGCTCAGCACCCATCCGAGCTCCCCCCCTGCCCCATGTCCTCCTCCTGATCTCCTCGTTCCCCAGATACCTCTACAGCACGTGTGATGGGCCAGCACGGCCAAACCCAACAGTTGCATAACTCAGAGGCAGAAAGGGAGGAGCTAGACACCATTCTTCTTCCCTTTGAGTAGCCAAAGGAGAATGAGAGTAGTCTTTGACCTCATTAATGAGCTATTAGTTAAGAGATGGGTATGAAGGATGGAGCTCCAGCTCCAGCCACCTCTGGGTAGCAGGCTGGTGCTGGAGACTGCACTGCCTCTGCCCCAGCTCTCGGAGACCACGGGGTGGGAAAGCAGGGCAGGCTGCAGGCTGTGCTGGCAGGAGGGTCTAGGGAAAAGAGCTGAAGGTAGAAAGAAGAGACGAGCTGCAAAACAGAGAGAAGGAAGAGAAAGGAGTGAGACAATAAAAAAAAAAAAAAAAAAAAAAAAGAGGAGACCATTAATAAAAAAAAAAAAATAATCATCCACCACCATGTGAAGTGAAGTGAATCACTGCCATGGGATTAGCAGGGTGAGGTGGATTTTGGAAGCAGCCACGATGGAGGCATGTCGGCCAAGGCAGATGCAAAGAGCCCCCGGGCGTGCTGTGCTCCGGGAAGGGCGCGCACCGGCGGCAGCACCCTTGGGAAGGCTCCCGACACCTCCAGCAACAATAATGCTGACCACGAGCCTGGGCACTGGCCTCGAGGGGGGTCTGGTGCTGGGTGCTGCCTGCCCCAGCCTCCTTGTGCCACTGGCAAACTGATTCAACAAAGCTTAACTTGGGCGGAGAGCAAATACAGAGCTGGGTTTAAGCCAGATCAGTTCAGGGATCTGGTTCACCACGGGAGCCTGAGCTTCACCAGCGCAAGGAAAGCACAGCAAGACCTGCACGGAAAAGTCTACACAAACATGACATTTTAAAGCCACACATAGAGACTCCTCAAGCTCTGGAAGGACTGCAGGCAGAGCAGGGGGCTTTCCAGATGTGGATCTCCTCTCCTCAGGAAATCACGCTGGAAAACCAGCCTGGGTGCAGAGCTTCTGCTGCCATACCTGTGGTTCTGGCTCTATGTTGATCCGGTACGCTTGAGCCTTGCCATCTTCCAGAACAGGGGGTGACCAGGTCTTCCCTTCAGCTCTGCAATGGGAAATTAAGTAAACTCAACTGAAATTGCTTAAAAAAAAAAAAAAATCAACTAGGAAAAATAACATACTTTAATAAATAAATAAATAATAAAAAAAACCAAACCAAAAATAAAACCCAAACATATATATAGTATATAGGTCTGCCAGGGAATGCATATATATATATAGATATAAAAATATATATATAGTGTTTGTCTAAAATTAACCTCAGAAATAGTACAGTGGTAAACAGAGAAGATGCCAGTTCCAGGCTATTAAAACCACAAAAGCTCAAAACCATTCTTGAACTACAGGCTCCAGCTTATTGTGGAGTTTAAGATACAAACTTATTTCAGTTCAAGAAATGAGTAGACAGGCTTGTGGTGGTTCTTGTTTTGCATACTCCTGGCTTTGCCTCTTTCTTCTGGCTCTGAATCATAAAAGGTATTCTGATTATGTGTGTGTATATATACAAGTTTATGTGTGTGTATATATGTATATATATATAGGCATTCCCTGGCAGGCCTATATACTAGACCACAGCAGGAATTCTATAAATGCCTTTCAGGGAGAAGGCTTATGTGACCTTGCGTGAATCATCTTGACCCTTTCAACAGGTGCCAGACAGAAAAATCCCTAAAAATACAGTTTCCACTCAGAAATGCATCTCAGGCAAGCCAGAGGAGGATGCTGCCACTGTCCACAGATTTTCCATGTGCCTGATTATTTTTTTCCCCACAGAGGCGCCTGGGCACACGGCCGGGATGTGATCTCCAGCGTGGCTGTCCTCTTCCACACTCGGGGCACCCTTCGTCGGACTCTGGCCCCTGCCACACACCACGTTCAGCTTTGGTTTAATTATCTGCAGAGTCCAAGTTTGAAAAATAAGGAGCACAGTTTTAACCCAGGAATTCCTGGGGTGTTTTTTTCTTTTTACCTTTGGTATTTTGCATCTAAACCAGTCAGCATACAAACCTACCTTTCCAAATTCAGCGTCTCATCCAAAACTTGTCAAAAGCAAAGACTCCCACTGGCTTTAACACATCCCCTGAGGATCCATCCCCTGAGGATTTAACTTTTTGTGTTGCAAACCGGTACTCAAGTATTACCGTCACAACTTTTTTCAACAGGGCATAACGTACTCTTTCTCATAGCTAGATTTCTTGTTCTGATAAACTGTCTTTACTGTAATAATTTTAGGCTGGGACAATTCACTTTAAGTTGGTCTTTCCGAATGCTTTTGGTGGGACAAAAGAAACGCTCCTTCCCAGGAACAGCAGCACTCCTAGCAATCCCAACCCGCTTTTTGCCACGATCCAGTGCTGCGTATATTGCTTCCACATTGAGAATTTTATCCGGAGGCCCAGAACAATGAAAATGCCTAATTACATTGGCAGAGATCATCATTATAATTTCCGTGCTTTTTTCCCTACATTGAATCAGCCTGGTGTGTGGGGCTGAGAAGGGGCAGTTGCGACATTCCCCTGTGCTCAGCTCCGGAGCCCACATGCCAAACACAGCTTAGAGGATCCTGAAGGCTTCAATTTGTCACTAAATAACAAGCGAGATTCAGAAAGTGATGCGGACTGCAGAAGACTCATTCCGCGTGATGCTACAGCATTCAGTCACCAGTACCACCAGCACTTTCTGGCGGGAGTTTCCCAGTTCCCCATGCCCCTGATGAGCAAAGATCACACCGTCTGTACCAGAAAGCAGCTAAACTTGTCTTTTCCAAACAGTATCATAGGTGTCTTCACACTTAATGCAAGATGTGGCCAGATTTAGGTTTGCACGCAAAAAGCCCCTTGATAGTGCTTTTAATGATTAAACTCGAGGCTTCACCATCAGTTCTTTAGAGCAACCAAAAGTTCTTGGTATAAGCAAGGTGGCCTGGCACAGCTTCCAGCAGTGGCCCGAACAAAGCCAGACTTACCCCAGGCACAGCTTCCACTTGAACTACTCTGAAATTAAGCTGACAGGGCACAATTTAGGTTCTATTTGGCACTTTTAAAGGAAAAGCAAAGGGGGCTGGGAGAAACACCAGCCTCCCCAGATAGAAATGCAAGTCATAAGTTTGATAAGCATTTATGGTCACACAGGGAGACTTTCTCTTTTCCCTGGGAAAAGCAGAATACCAGGCGATCCCAAATAATAACGAGATGACTCTGTCTGAGAGTACAATGCCATGGGCTGATGCTCTGAGCTCACACCCTCATGCCCACCTCCGCAGCAGGACCAGCAGCGAAGGGGGGTCCCCAGGAGCCCCCCAGGACAGGGGAGCCAGGCAAGCCCTGGAACAGGGGGGCCCTCGGGGCAGCACGGCCACCCCAAACCACCCTGGCATCAGGCTCACACTACCAACAGTCAGAGCTTTGTGTTTAGGCAACAGCAAAAACTAATCACACTTTTCTAACGTAATGGGTGAGAGATCAGACGCCGCACTCAAATGTTCCGAGTTGTTTAATTTACAGCTCAAGGACAGGAAAAGTGTTTTCAGATGTGTTGCAGGGGATTAAAGTCAGCTATGTGGAAATCATTACCCCGCACTAACAACACTCTATTTTAATGGCTGCCAGGACAATCCTAAGAAAAATAACTTGACCTGGGTTAGAACAAGGCCTTCAACCCAGGCCTTTGTGGGAAATGGACCCATTACGAGACATAACTAGAAAAATAAAATTGCAGACACCTTTTATCCCACCATTTGTTTTCTAAAAGATTCAATGTCATTCTCAAAAAGATTACTTGCATATGCTCACATATTTTACGGAAATGTTTTTTCACCTGGTAATGATCTGCAAGTCTTTCTCTCTGCATTTGTAGAGCTGCTTCTAAGTCACAGGAATTCCTGGGTCTTACTGAATTTCTAATTTCTCCACCCCCTTATAAACTAATATTTAGCACTTGGGAAAGTGCCAGACCGGACCCGAGCTGCCGCTGTCTGCTGTTGTGCAGCCGTGCAGGTGGGAGCAGGCAACAGCTACGCAAACCTCTAGAACCACCACATTGCTGTATTTCACCCCAATCTGTAGAATCCCTCCAGGGTGGGGGTTGGCTCCAGGTTCCCACCCATCTCCTGAATGCTGTTCACCTCCCATGATGGCACATCACTAAGGTCACAACTGATTTTTGCCACTGTTGTGGCCATTCTCCTTCTAGGAGCTGAAGTCAGTCTCGAAGCAGCTACGGCTGATGCTCTTAATTCCCCAGGATTGCAAACCTGGCCACAATAACTGTACGGTGTTGGATCCATCCCTGCAACTTGATGTAGGGCTTTTGCCTGCCGTGCAAGGTGTGCAAGGCTTTGCACAGGCACAGGAGCTGAGCTCTGCTGAGCACCCCAACATACCCGGCCCATCCAGGGTACGTGAAGAAGCTGTGGGATTTTTTCCTCCTTCATTCCTCTCAGCTGAAACCATTGCTGGGTATCGAGGCTCTGGAAAGCTGCCGGTTTTCCTCTCTATTAGTCCTTGAGGAGCTCTGGAGGGGAAGCTGTGATTCACTTTTTCAGTTGTACTTTTACTGGAAACTTGAGAACATTGTCATCCTTCCCATCTTCCAGCAGCGTGCCTGCACCACTCACAGCAAACAGACCCCGACAAAAGCTCCACGAGCTGGGGGAGGTGGGAGCAGGGCTCGGAATAACATCAGTTATGTGAGGTTCCAGGGACTTTTGGGGCTACACGTCCAGCAAACTCGTTATTGGGCTTTTTCCCATAGAAACTTCCAGAGAAACTCCATCTCTGTACAGAGAGCAGCAATAAATAGAAAAATCTCCATACTCAGAGTCTCCAAGGAGGCTCAGCAGAGGTGCAAGGGTGCATCGGTCCATGTGGGCTCTCTGCATGCTGCTCATCCCCTGGAAGCAGGGCTCAGCTCCCAGCTGCGACCTCGCTGCCGTTCTGCACGGGGACACTCACTTGGTCTCAAGCAAACGAGAACAAATCTGATCGGCACAGCGAGCACCACGCTGCACGCCATCGCCGCCTGTGAAAGGATTTGGGTTTTCCTAGCCCATGCACACCCGCTTGCTTCCTCCTCAGCCTCTCGTCCTGGGCTCTGCCAGGGTTGCACACAGCAAAACAGCCCCCAGAGCTGGGCAGGGCTTTCCACAGCTGCTATTTTAAAAAGAAGAGTTACCGTCTCTGAAATACCTTCCCTCCACGGGCAAGGGCCCAGCAGGGCCGCTCCTGCAGCGCGCACACCAGACAGAGGGGGAAGAAGCTGCTTCCAGGATTTATTTTAGATAGAAGGAACCAAAGCTGAACCTTTGAGGATTTATGCTTTGACATTACAGTCAAGAAATAAATACAACACAGCAACCCCATAGCCCTTGGCTGCGCCTGGGGCCAGGCAGATGCTGCCAGTCCTCCAGCACGGCCCCATGCACAAACAGCCCCTGAGTTATTATCAAAAGAAAGGGCTGTAATTGGATTGGACTGAGAAGAACAGCATCAAAATTATTATTTTTTTTTTTTTTTTTTTACAAGTCTCACAATACACATGAATTCCTCCCTGTACATCACAGGAATACAAACACATTACTCCCAAGGCAGGGGAACCAGAAAGCACACTTCTTGCCTGACAAGGAATTTCTTAATTTGTGTAACTTAGAGACAACTTCAGAGTGAGCAAAAAAGAAAGAGAACAAGTCTTACCATGTGATCATCCTTATCCACACATTTATGTTATTTAAAACTCTAAAACCCTTGGCCACAAGTCAAATGCATACATTTTGTGGATAAATACCAAGATGTCCATATCACGTTTCTGTGAGTAATAATTCACAGGGCTGCTTACCACCCGGGATCTCCTCCAACCAGCTGCCACATACTTGCCCTTACCCTCCCTTGTAGGTACCAGCAAGGCAGGCAGAGCAGACCCCGTGCTCCCTTGGCTTGGGATTCAACAGCTGGGAAGACGATTCTGGAACAGGACAATTTATCATCAGGGCATCCCAAACCATCCCGCTAAATCTTCATCGGCACCATCACCACCTCGCCCTGCAGCCCG